TGATTTTGTTGATTTGGAGGTGCTCTTTCTTTCTTTTGGTTAACTGAGCTATGGGTCTGTCAATCTTGTTTATCTTTTCAAAGCACCAGCTCTTGGATTTGTTGATTCTTTGTATTGTTTTCTTTGTTTCTATTACATTAATTTCTGGTCTGATTTTTGTTATTTTTTCTTGTCTGCTAGGTTTTGTTTTCATCTGTTGTTGCTTTTCAAGTGTCTTGAGTTGTAATGTTAAGTCATTTATTTGTGTTCTTTCTGATTTTTTTAATGTAGGCACTTAGAGCTAGACACTGCTCTCTAAGGACTGCTTTCAACATGTCCCAGAGGTTTTGTTTTGTTGTATTGTCCTTCTCATTTATTTCCAGGAATACTTTTATTTCTTTCTTAATTCCTCCTTTGACTCATTCATCATTCAGGAGGGTGTTGTTTAATATCCACGAGTTCATGTAGTTACTAGGGTTCCTTCTGGTGTTGATTTTAACCTTTGTTGCATTGTGCTCTGATAGAATGCATGGAATTATTTCAGTCTTTTTGTATTTGTTGAGGCTTGTTTTGTGTCCCAGAATGTGGTTGATTTTGGAGAAAGTTCCATGGGGCGCTGAATAGAAAGTAGATTCTTTGGTGCTTGGGTGGGATATTTGGTAGGTGTTGGTTAGGTCCATTTGATGTATGGTATTGTTTAATTCAGATGTCTCTCTCTTTTTTGGGGGGGTGTTTCTTAATCCATTCAACTAGTCAGTGTCTTTTGACTGGGAAATTCAGTTCATTGATATTTAAAGTTATTAATGACAGATGTGTACTGGTTCCTGTCATTTTGATTTCTGTTTGCATTCTTGGTGCAACTGTGCGGTCATCCATTCCCAGATCCCAGGGCTGGTGAGAGGGCTGTGTCAGCGATGCCACATTCAGATACAAGAGACCAGGTTCAGAGACACAGATCTACTTTATTGAAGAAAAAGTGACCTTATATAGGATTCTTAAGTCATTCAGGAGAGAGTACAGTGATCATTCAGGAAAGAGTACAATGATCATGTCATACATGAGCAGACAGCTTAGGTTTCAGTTTACAGTTTCATTTTTCTGATTGGGACTAGAATTCCTGTAAATCATGTGATTGGCCCTGTGAGGGAGGGGTAGTTGATTCCCTGGGGCATGGGGGCCCTCTTATGTCCTAAAAAGCTGTTCATCAAAGAAAACTAACATTCTCCAACACGACTGTATGCTTCGACAGTTATATCTTCATTAAGTTTCTTTCTGTTACCCCTTGGGTATAGTTGTTCCATTTTTCTGCTCCTTGTATTGCTTCCAGAACTCTCTGAAGGGCTGGTTTTGTAGACATGAATTCTTTTAGCCTATTTATGTCATGGAAGATTTTTCTTTCCCCTTCCACTATAATAGACACTTTGGCTGAGTAAAGTTAATCTGGGTTGGCATCTGTGGTCATTTAGAGCTGGGAATACATTGGTCCAGGTTCTTCTGGCTTTCATAGTTTGCACTGAAAAGTCAGCTGTAATCCTAATGGGTTTTCCT